CAGTTATCTTAAAGCCTCGCTCCGCCATGCTTCATCTATCCAGTATGAGACTGATTAGCAATACAGAGAGCCTCTTGCCAATATGTGTTTCTGCGCTTGCATAATATGCAAGAACTCATAAAAAGTACAATGTCGAAATGTCGCTGCAGACTTTCCTAATGGTTCTTGACGCATTTTTATGCTTTTTTGCTGTGCAGCACTATAGCACTGATAGCGTGAACAGAAACGGATAATGCTGAGAGGTCGTCGTGCGCGTTTGTGTGTATGTGTGAAATTTGTTACTGACTTTCAACTCAGCAATCAAAAACACTAGGAGGCTGAAACTCTGAGGACACATTCCCGTCCAGTGTGTTACCCTCCCGTTTTAAAATCGTTGCTCATACGCGCCTAGATTTGGCGTACAGACGCCCGGAAAAAATATGCAGATTTATTTGTCGGGGAACAATTTCGCAAACCGGAAATAATAGGATGTTGAAGTGCATGTATTAGCTAAAGATTTCAAATTCAGCTATCGCGCACGCTTATACTTCGCTTATACTTTGCGTCCGATCATATCAAATTTTGCAGTTGGCACTGTGTCAACTCGAACACTAGCAGGAAAGAAGCAGCTGAAATTTTGTCAGTGATATGCGATTTTTCAGAGATATATGATTTTGTCAGAGATATACGACTTTAGATATGCGATTTTCCATATCATTCATATGGAAAATCGTATACCTAAAGAGAACTTTGTCACCCACTTTCAACTTAGCAACTTGAAAATCGATTTTCACTTACTGCATGACTTAGGGCACTTCAAAGATATTTGCAGCGAAGTGACTATTTCGCTTGTCAGACAAACTGCAAAGCTGAAATTTTGCAAGGTGTTCTATATTTACATTTGGCATTAATTGAGCTTGGAGTGAAATTCCTGCACGCGGGCATGAAAAATACTCAATTTTCTCGTGTACCCAAAAGCAAGTGCATTTTGCGGATTTGATTGTCCTCCTGCTCAGTATCCTGTGCACTTTCAAATTTGCACTTCTAGATGAATCACCGCTCACCGGAAAAGCCACCGGGTTTCTTGCAAAAAATTGGTAATTATGGACGCTGGGATTCTACGCGGCTCTATATTGCAACACTTTCGTCCCAGTCGACCCCTTTTTTCTCTTCACGCAGAAAAAGACCAAAATACAATTAGTATGAATCAATTGTTAAACTGCAGCGTAGGAACCATTCCTGCTATTAACGACTGCGAGGTTAGAGCAAAAACGCACCGCAAGTCTGGTGCGTTACGGCCTGGGTTAAATTTTTTCGGCTAAAGTGAAATCGCAGTTAAGCTGCAATTTAAAGATTTTCAGTTCGCGAAATGTCCCGTTACTCAATGATTCTGTACGGCAGATGGGACAACTGCTGCTGAATTTCACCAAACATCTAGCGCGATTTTCTGTATGGGAAAAATCCATTGCACCCTATCTCTTAGTTATGTCTTAGTGATAGAAAAATCACCAACAGTGAGTAGAAATTTCAAAAAATTGTTTTTTTTTTTTTGATTTTTGAACCCATCCATCTCCCAGATGTGCAGCTACTAGTCGTTTCAGCTGCACTTCTATAGGATTTAGGGCGACAGCAGCATTTCCACACCCCGTGTATTCCTTGTTCGATTGGAGAGCACGCCGGGGGGAAGATCGCGATTGCCTTCGCAGTCGCGATCTGAGTCCTTTGGTCGAAGCTCTGAGATCATACCTAATTAATTAACCTGGAGCATGGTGTGTTGGTCTTTTTTACTTGGTCGGCACGAGTACCTAAGGGTGCCAGCGCGAATTAAAGTAAAACTCTACCTAGAAACGGAATCATCACCAGTGCACATTGTTGTATCACACACATTTCAATGTTATTGCAGATGTAAAGACTGCGGTATCACAATGTTTGGTGATACGAGGATTGCTGAACACAGTACAAAGAAGCACGGAATTGTGAACCCGCAATGCAGCGCGCACTATGATCCATGTGCAAATACATCTGACAAAACGGAGACTGCACTGAAAAACTGCTTCTCCGATATTCTGAACGAAATTCGTTGAGACGAATGCGAACTTTTTCCTGTCTCAGATGCGAACGAAATCTTTTGGTAGACGACACTTGCGAACAAAAAAAAAGAATGTCTTCCTATAAACATTTCTGCCAAGTGCTTTCCGGTGCTTAGTGCAGCAATCTTGAGATGTAATAACGTCTGATCATGCACGCTTAGAATACTAACGAGCACGAAAATGTGCATAAGTGATACTGCAATAGAAATGGTACAAATATGGCCTGCGTAGTCCACAATTTTCACATACTGCCTCTTTACTGCTCATTATTTACTGTTCTAGGAGCCAACTTCCTTCGTTGGACAGTAGTATAAATGTTTCAACAGTTCCTCAAGAGGATGATTCTTATTTTTTCATGTGTTACTTCTCATTATACTCCACTAAATTGTTGCCGCAGTCGCTAACAGTCCGTACGCTTCAGCAGCTCAGCAACCCGAAATGAACAGATCCAGGGAAAAGAAGCTAATGCAGGAGCATGATAGATTCCAAATCACCGCACTTTTTGTGGCAGAAATTTTAAAAAAAGACCTAAAATTAAAAAAGGTCTCTCTGAAAACTTTTATTTTACTGTTGGCTGTTAAATGCCTTGCTCACTACACTCACTCATCCGTGCATCCAGCCATAAACATTTCTGTTCTATTCAGTTCCAGTTCGTTTTCATAATTCTTCCGTTTCTGTTTAAGTTAATTCACCATAGTTCCTCCGTCCATGCCTAAGTCGAAAACGCATTATAGACGCGGCGAATGTTTGCCTACTCACGCGCATACGTGTTGCATGCGCAGGTAAATTCACTCTGTAATTCAGCTTTAATAGAAATCCTGAGGACATAAGCGCTAATGGATTCTGAGTGGAAGCAAAAATCTCAGTGTGAATTTTGTGCAATCCCTCGGTGTTACTGTACGACCACGGAATAAAAATCCGGTTGTGATTGAAACACTGCGCTCATATTTATAAGAATATGGTGTCTGAGTTGAAAGAATCAGCTTTTAAACTAAACTCTCTTCTGACGTACGAATTCAATCGAAATGTAAATGAAATGCTACAACGTGAGAACATCGCCACCACTGTATCCTAGCCTACAACATCAGTCCCAATTCTTGGTTTACTTACTTCAAAACACCACATATTTTTAACATCCCAAAACATTACAAACTCTTTATGCATGAAAACATTACTTTAATCCATTGACTTTATCTACTCTCATTGGAATACTTGATTTGACAAAATATTTCTTCACTATTTTTTCTATTTCCAGTTGATCCTTTGTGCGGTAAATATTGATACTATGCCTTCAGTCTCAGCGTTTTCTACTGCCATTACTATATTTTTCCTTTAGGTAGTATTATTTATTAAGCAAATACTGATATATTAGATTTTTATATTTGAAAAGATATGAATCTGAAGGCTGTATGGAGCAGTGCAGTTGCTGTTTGTCCTCCATATTCTTTCACCTACTGTGCCTTTGTGTAGCTATCTCCAAGAGTGCACTGTCTTTTTGCTTAATGCCAGTCCATTTTTTTTCAGTTAAAAGCAACCTTTTGAGAGAAGCAAAAATTTAAATTGCCTTTGATAAAATGAAATTGCCCCAGGTGCGTTTCGTGGGTTCGAGAAACAAATATAGCAAGCACTATGACTTCAAAGCACTTACTGGACTCTGATGCATGCACAGAAGCAAATATTCACAAACTGAACAAACAGTTTCGCAAGGAGCTGTTATAGAAAACGTACTGGTGGTTGTAAGGGAATGAGCGCCTTACGCACAAGCATTCATTGGAAAGCCTATCGAGAAAATTCACGAGGAAATGCATGGAATTGCGTTATCCTTGCGTAGCTCCCAGGTTAACTGAGGGGAGCTACGCAAGGATTACGCAATTCTATGCATTTTTTTTCTTTTGTACTGGAAGTTTCTGAAAACGAAAACTGGATGTCCAAAAAAACCGCGATCAGTAAAAGCGATTTGCTTTTTGAATCGAACACCTTACCAGAGCTCTGACCGCTAAATTAGACTGCAGTGGTAACTTGAAACGCCTACCTTCTTTAGTTGCTCAATGTCGGGTAACAAGCGTCGGTGTTGCACTGTTTTCTTGTAGAGCTCGAAGGAAGCGCGACGGCGGTCTTCATCGTCTGGCACCAAAAGAATCATTTCGGCGCTACGAGCTCGTTGTGGCGGAACGTCCACCGACAAATAATTGCCTGCAGAAAACGAATGGAATAATTTTTGGGAAGAAAGAAAAATCCTCAGAAAAGTCTATGTCAAGGGAGAAAGCAAATGATTAGCAACTGAATGAATTTTTGTTAAAAAAATGTTTTTATGAAATTTACAGAAACTTGTAGAAACTTTTGTTTGCCCAATTCGTCCACATTGTCCCAAACTCGTATACCCTTTTTGAAGCTGACACTTCAAAAATTTCCCATCTTTCAGCTTGTTTTTACCAAAGCAGTGTATATTCTATTCTAATTTGATAAACGAGGTGAACAGTTTTTGCCGCTGATTGGAAAAACTGGGCGAACACGGCGTTCGTTATTTTCTTGGACTTTCAAAACTATGTTTTAAATCAGCTTAAATTTGAGTTTGGGACAAAGCCACATAATTTTACATGAGCTGTAGGTGGGACTTGATTCATTTCCTCCCGAACAAATGTGTTTTGAACTAGCTCAGTTAAAAACACAAAGAAAACTCACCACTGGAATGCGCAGTAGCGATAATTTTTGCCGGCTGAGATTTGGGCTGTTCTGTGGCATGTATATTTTTCTCATATGCCCCTGCTTTAACAGTTTCGCATTCGCCAATGTCTAGAAATAACCTTTTTGTAACCACAAAACATTAGCTGGAGGTGTGCAGTTCAGGATCGAACAGCCTGGCACGGCTGTGCCCGGGGGTTTGGAGCACTTCAGTAACAACACCAATATAAATATCCATTTACACGGACTGTCCGGACGATCTTATTATTCTTGGTAATAACCTTCTTAAAGAAGTACCTTTTTAGGTAACAATTTAGTGCCCATTTAGATTGCGAGTTGTGATTGGGCCTTATGCTTTTCGAAATTAGTGCGAATATTTTGAGAAAATATCTGCACTGTTTACCAGCCACATGCATTTTTTCCTTTCCTTTTTTGTGCTTTTTTACTACTCCCGAAATGTCTATGTGTTTCCAGTTAATATTACTCGAAATAATTGGTAATCATCGAAGTTATGAAGCTGGTTTTGAAACCTGCCAACAACCGGCATCAATGACGACGAATAGCGAAAAAATACCCCCCTACAAGAACATTTGTTAACCCCTACCCCACCTTTTCCAAAAAATTTGGAGTGCTTATGAAACAATGCATTTGATGGACGTGAATTCAAGTTTTACTGGGTAAATGAGTACTTATTGTAGGCAAATGCGTACTTATTAAAGGACTGTGGAAAACACTTGATCGCCGTCTTTCTGGAGTATTCGCCTCGTCAATTTCGATCACAATCCTGAAATTGTCAAACAAATAGGTG